ATTATTTTGTGTACGTTTCTATAATAGTATTGAGAATGTGTGTTTAAGAAACTCATTGTGATTATTCGAAGATAAAATGTTTCAAATAAAAATTTTTGAACATATAATGATGTTATATTCACCAGTTTCCATTATTTATTTACTTGTTTCTTACTAAAAATCTATTACGAATCGTTTCCTTTTCATAAATTACTTGTGAAATGCCTGTTCAGTGATATCATGTTCTTAGTAAACGTCCTTGTTTGTAAAGTGCAATAAACGTTTCTCCTGAACACCATCCGCATTCAGCACAACTTCCTGATTTCTTCCTCTGCTGAAATCGGCTCTGTAGGTTGTTGTTGATAGTGTTGGTCAATGGACCCGACGTATTTTGCGTTGACAATGGTTACTAAATATTTTTATCTTCTGGATGATGTCTTGAGTATTTCTCTTAGTTTTTGACCCATGCAATAGAGCTGTCCTCACATTTGCCTTGAAAACTCTCACTCTGGTGTTGGTAGTTAACTATTTAGAGTTCCAGACGCTTTATGACTAAAGAAATGATTCTCTTTGTCAATGCGCTCCTCCACATCTGCATCGCATACACCTTGCTCATCAGTGACGCTGCCAAGATATGTAGTGATTTTACCATTCTCTGAAGCATCTCTTTCAGGTGAGATTTAGTTGGTGCATTTTTTATTACGTCGGAGAACTTTGCTTTTGCCTTTGTATATGACGTGACCTCCTGCTGACACAACTGCTGACTCACTAGTCATATGTTCTTGTATTTGCATTTCTTGTGTGATAGCAAAGCCAGATCATCTGCCATGTTTAGATCGTCTAGATGCATCCTAGATGTTTATTTGATCCTTGTATCACCAAAGCTGTTCAGGTGTTATTTATTCCTTTGACCTATATGAAAAAAGGAAAGGATGGGAATAAGCAACTTTGGCTGACATCGTTCCTCGATCTAAATGACGACTAATCAGGTGACCTATGAGAAAAGAACGAACATCGCCTATATAAAATAAAGGAAATTAATAATTACCTCAATACGTTTTCCTTTACTTTAATACACACGACTAATTCGTCAGTGATATTTCATCCCTCATTTTCTTTAACAAGTTCTATCGGTGATGCATTTGAAATGCTTTAGTCTTCGATTTGCAATGTAGAACTGAATTACTGCTCCGTACATGTAAGACAAACTTATCAAACTTTCAAATGTTGGTAGCTTGTTGTCATAGCTGTGGAGAAAGATTTAGATGTGTTTATAGTGGATAGTGTGAAAACTCGTCGGAATAGCAAATGACTTGCGAAAATATTTGACCACAAAGAGTAGTAGCATGAAATTCCCAAATATGTGTTCATTGAAGCGAAAATGAACCAATTGGATAACTTGTCTCTTTAAAACTATGCACGAAGTACCCTGATATTTATATTTTACCGACAACGTAATTTCTCATTTATTACGTTGTTTGATGATGTTGTCTAACAGCAAGTAAGACTACCATTAGGAAACTGGTAGTATTAGATGCCGTATTTCTATAGTATTGGTCTAATAAGCAGTGACATCGCACTATTACACCTACATGAGTTAGATACATGACATTCAGTCACGCTTGTAAACTCTTTGCCTTTCGACCACTGGGCCGGTATCCGAGGGCATTTGTGTTTCTTTCAAGTATTCCGCAATTTTTGCTTAAATCCGTGCATCAGATGCGCTGGATAGGTATGTCATAGTGGAAATATTTCAACTTCACTGGTGTGGACTTCTCACTAGACCTCAAAAATGTGCTCAAATAGCTAGGCGTGAGATGAGAAAAATACACGGCAATAAATTTATTCTACCTTAATCGCAGTTATCTCATACTCAGATTTCCGAACAGTTTCTAATCGTGAACAATCGTTATGAAACATTCGAAGTGTACACTGTTTTAAATAATCATTCAAATTGTGTACTTCACACTCAGTTCCTACACATAAATCTTCTTCGAATGCTTTATTTACTGCGTCTTTAACGGAATGGACATAATTGCAATAGAATATAGTTTCCGCTTTTCGGTCTGATTATGAAAAAATTATTGAGATATATCAAGAGGAGCTACTTATATAAGCAGTTTCAGTAATTAGACTCCTGCGTTAACCACTGATCAGCTTCGCAAAGTAGTAAATCTACCTTTAGATTTCTCTATGTCATACTTGGTCAACCCCGGTTTGGCGAAGGTGGCCATAAGACAAATGCTGTTTTGTGGATGAATTTGTTTTGTCCAATCCGTTAAGCAGACTGTCATTAGGAATATCAACAAAGAGAGGCAAGTTGAAGCCAACTCTCATGGGATAAAGCGAAATCGAGTATTTACGGTCAGGCAGTAGTAGGCTAAGTATGAAACGGGCTAAGAGAAATGCACACGAAAACTCAAATATACAGTGGATAATAATGTTATCGAACTATGACAAACATAGAAGTGCTTTATATAAATATCGCATCATATGAACAACTAATGACTGGGCTAATGCATGTAAGGCGCTGAACAGTTTTACTTATAAATATGCAAAGGAATGGACGCTAATTCAATTTCATTCTATTCGGTTTTGTCATACATTTACCCTAATTATTTATACATAATCCAGTCAACTGTCACTATATTTGTAGTCAATTAAAATTGCCTAATGTAATCTAATATACTAGAATATCCACCACAAATACAGTCGTCTGCTACATCTCAACAGATTTATCGTAATGACACTCTTTTTTGAAGCATTAGTCTCTTAGGATTGACACGAATCAACGATACTGCTTATTTTCACGTGTCTGTTGAGCAGCCAGTGATCTTACCCTTTAAACAAGGCCTAAATGTCCCATAAATGTGACTAACCTGCAAGCGTCAAATCGTTTCAGATGAGAACCCAAGTCTTCGTTTCACAAAAGATTCAGAAATTCTGACTATATTTAGTGTAAGTGGTTGAACCACCAGCGGAGTGGGCATTGAACATACGGACTGCACTAACCGCAACCATGTTCATAAGCGAATTATTGGCAAGGTTGAGATATGTTTAAATAGTTAATGGAGGAAAATGGATTAATTAATTTTCCAAACGTGATGGCCCTACATGTTAGTGTTCATTACTAACCAAGGCATAGTTTCTCATATAGCCGAAACGTAACTGGGAGCATACTCCTAAGGATTGTATTGTAAACTATTTGATACAATATTGCCTATTTTTTTTAAAACGTCAACTTTTGTGTGCAGCAAATATCAATCTGGAGGAACTATCTTAACGATGTACGTTGAACTTTCATTTTGTCTTTAACAACACTTACTATAGACAAACAGACGGAATAGCCACGTGCTGACCGCAAGGCTCAAATTCAGCTAATCTCTTCCTAGCTAAGCTAGAGAATGGACTCCAAATAATACTATTAGGAAATTTTGATCTATATTGCCGCTACATGGATCACAAATTTATTATTATAGATCAACATACCAGTTGGAAAAAAAACACATAAAACATTTCAACAGTGTAAATCCGGCAATGCTTTACACAGATGAAGAGTAATGTGACAAAAATCTGAATTTCCTTGATGTCACAAAGCGGGTGAAGCTATGGCTGTTTAGGCAGAAGCGTCTACAGAAAACGTCCCTACATTTTCCAAATAAAACACACTTTTATAGTTTTACACCTATCCGTAACGAAAGGTCATTTGTTAGATATCTCAAAAGCACAGCAAAAGTTATCTGTTCGGTGAATACTTAAAGACGACAGTTTATTGACTGAGTTGAATTTTTCCAGAGACTTCTTAAAAAAGCACATGTAAACGGCAAAAAGAGAAGTCAGATATTTCGACTGTTCGAATGAAACCACTATTCAATAAAGTACAATTTAATAAGGATATGGCTGGCGATATCATAAATGTTAGATTGAAAATAATTAATTTGTGGGAGGTTACATGCAGCTAATCTATTTGGACTTTCTGTTTTAGTATTTTCGTGCAATTTAGAGTAACACTTGGTGACCTTAACGTTAACTTAATTGTCTTAGGCTATCACTTTGCTTCTTGCTAGCTAAAGAGTGACAAGGACTTCACTGTTCACCCACCATACTCTTCGTGAATTGACCACTCAACACATCAACGACCTCCACAAAACACATTCGTTTTTTGAGTGGTCTGAATATGCGTAACATATTGAGAAATTGGACGGTGTTATGTGAAGTCTGTACATTTGTCTTATTGGATCAAATGGATTGAAAGTTCAGAAAGTGAATCTGAAAGGTTCTATTATGATTACGGAAAGAAACCCCTCCATTAAATATTCCAAAACCTTAAGTATACGTTGAATCAGTTCCACTAGAGAGTGAAACTTCATAGTAAGTGACTTGAGGAAACCATTTTACGACGGTTTTTGGATTGCGATGTATGGAAGCTTACAACTCCTAACCATGCAATCAATGAAGTTCCTACATATAAACTACCGTGAAATAGCATTAATTGAGCATTTCCTGATACGATTCACTTGATTTGCAAACACAATCACTCGTTCATTCAAAATGTTATTTACGAAACAGCACTTCAATTGGCGGCCAACAACACTGGTCTATATGTTTTCGTGTATTACCTTTCATGTGGACACAATGAAAGTTGGAATGGCTTAACTTGTTTCTCGATATTCATTAATAGGATTTTTAAAGCCATATGTTAAAGTTTGATCTCTATTAATTTCCACAGCCAAATACTTACGATTCTTGTGTTATCGATGCACAAATATATTGAAACTTCATAGCTCTTTAAACCGTAAATTCAAACCTTTTTCCCCACTACGACAGTGAAAGCATGACAGAATAATCTAACGCAAAATTGTAATTTACTGTAATTATATTGTGATGCGTTAAAATGTTAAATTGAATGGAAAGTGTGATAAATGATTTTATTGAGTTTCTCTGATTGATGATACATGTTAGAATTATGATTTTACGATTACCAAGAAGATGTTAAACAAGATTATTATCTATTTATATTGAATTAACTAAGCAATGAACTATTTTTATTAAAGCAGAATGAAACAACATTGTTAAATGAAAATATGCGTAATGTTTGACAGTTATGAATATTCCCTCTTATGGGGAGTGAAGTAGTTCTCTCCACCTGAAAATAATGCAGAAAATTTTAATTATACTGTGAAATGAAATGGTTGAGTTCAGTTTGAATTATACATACATGGTGTTGGGTTGCTAAAATCAAGCTAAAAATCTCTGACTTTACACGACAACGCTTGTATGCTCATGGCTGATGTGTCTCATTCCAAGAAAAAACGGCTGCCAAGTGCTTCCAGGATTCTGGCGGTGGTCTAACAATAATCGATTCATTATTTCAACGAAACTTGATAGCGTCCATATCCTAATGATGAGAATGACATTTATAGTAAATAATAAAGTCGAGAGGTACAATTTCTAAATAAATTACTGATTTCTCCTGCAAAGAAATTTATTGTTGCCTGAATATTGTTCCATTGCATTTCGTACAGAACTGAAATATACATGAAAAGTAAACAAATAAGACAAACAATCTGTCACTGTGTGAGTGATAATATCAACTTGAAAAGATTTATCTTCAACTTTAACTTCACATACCATTATAATAACTAATTTATATGTTTATCAAGAGAATGGTTTAGTGATTTTCATTTAGTTTTTTTGATTACGAGGCAAACATTTTTTAGTAATGGGCGAGTACGATTTTAGTGCACATCAGTTTATCTTTGTAATAGGTATGTTCTGAAGCATATACAATTTAACAGTAGAAGTTTGAATAAGTGAATTGCTACATTAAGATCTGTTAGCTGGATTTGCATGAATCTCAGAAGTGATGTGAGTTCCAATACCTTAACGCAGTTAACAATCATGTTTTTTACATGGTAACTGAGTCCACATAATCATTCCTTTGAGAAACGGTGAAGAACGGCTTTTTGAAGCACATCTCAGGTTGAATGAAACATGTATCACGGATTTCCCTGATATCCTTGAATTCAGGTCCGCCAATTTTGTTTGCAATCTGAAGGAAATTTTAATTAAATTCACATAGGACGCATGTAACCTAAAGAGATTGATTCACTGAAGTCTCAAGCATCAATGGGAAGATTCAAACAATATGAGATGGTTGTACTCACATAAACCTTTGTTTAATAGTGATAAAGCTTTGTATTTTTTACGAATCACGGAATCCAAAATTTGTGCATCTATAGGATAACAAGAGAAGTGTCTTTTATCAAATGAATAAGTATGTTCATGATGTCATGGTTAACTAAATTCATGGTACTAAATGAAGCATATCACAATGACAATTTCGCTAAACGTTCATTCTCTGTATTTATTACAACTATTAGTCCTGTTTAGGATTTTAGTTTCTCGGTTTCATATTGGTTCAGATCTCAAAATTTGATAATCCAAAACCTAGCTGTTTCTAGTCTACTTGCGGTTGAAAGGCAACGAATTTTCGATTGATTATAGCTTATTAATAAGGAACAACTTTTCGAAGCAAATATAAATTTTTAAATATGCGTCGGTTGTTTAACTTTTTTTGTTTGTCCTTATATTGCGTCGAAAAAGCTTATGTAATCAACGTGTTGTTGTTGATTTACCACGTTGAACTGTTGGATTTGTTAGTTCTTGCCGAATCGGAATCGCTGTCAAATAAGATAATTATCGTGAAACTCTAGCTTCAGTTGTTTGAGGAACACCTCCCTTTAGTACAAGGTGGAAATCATATTTAGAGACGTACAATTAGACAGTGAAATTTACATGCAAACTATTATAATCTCGCTGCACATGATCTTTTGTCAGAGAATCAAGATTTTAAGTCCTTACATTTTTCTTCTTCCCATATGATGAAACATACACGGAGTTCAGACGGTAAAAGTTTTACAAGGACAGTTCTCTCCAGTCGTTTCTAACAGTAATTCATTGTCTTAATGCTGCGAAAAAGAACGTTTGTTCTTCCTACTGACCATTTTAATCATAGTATTTTAAATGTTACTTTGAAGCATACTGCTAACTATCACATCAGAATATACATCATTTCTGAAATACGCTGTAAACCTCTGAATAGAAAAGACACAAATACATAGATTCGAGTGGTATGAATATAAATATGTCTTCATCAATACAATAATTCATTTCAACCTACCTTTTACACAGATATTTTTACATTGGTCACACTTTGGTTTATCCATTCTGGATGCCTCATCTAGGAAAGAATAAACATCACGCATTAATACCATTCTTTTTGGTCAGTTATTAAAAATATGCAAAAAGTTTGAAAAATATTTTTCCCTATATACAGTCTAATTTTATAGACGCATTTGTTTCTCTATTAACAATCAATCTATTTCTCGTTTTTGAAGATCACATTTAGCCTACTTTGATAGATATGCCGTAATAGTCAGTTCAGTAAGAAACATTCCTGAATATTGGATGCTCTGAAATATCTTATCCTTCTAATCCCACCGAAACAAACCATTTCGACTAAATTTACCTGTTCATGAAAGTGGGTGTGGTGTGACACCTACTCGAATAATACTTTTATTGTGAAATGCATTAGTTTTGAAATATTTCTCAATAGTTTAAAGTAATATGATATTGTAATTCTTCTTCACTAAATTCATTTTAAAGCTTATCGTAGAAATATTTTGTGTAAAAACACTGATTGACATCCTAATATTTTATCAGATTATTAGCTGACTAGTATTTCTAACGATTACATGTTTCATTATTATCTGAAATAAATTCGGTCCACATTTATGGCAAGCTGTTTTCCAGACATTTTCGTGATAAAATATTCAAAAAATGATTTCTATGGTTTTTCAACTTAATTCACAATGAAAATTTAAGTTCAGAATTAAGTTGAAAAGGAATGACTTAATTTGGACCGACAACAAGCAAAATATTGTTGACGCTTGAAACCCACAAATATGAGTATTTATTTAATCCCTACGTTCGAATAAAACATTTTGGATAATTGAGCTTAATGATGAGACACAAACAGCCGCAAACTGATTTAATTTTTTTTCATATTTAATTTATTAGAAAAATGTTTTGCTTTGAAAAGGACATATGTGAGATGAAACAGTGAAGATAAAAATAAACGACTGGTGACACTCACAAATTTTTTCGTTTCTATTTTTTTCGAAGCACTTTAGCAGATTTGAATAATTGGGAACTTTTGTTCCAACGGAGCACATGTAATGCAAAGCAAAATCAATGCAAAATTGAAGGTAGCAGAATAAATATTGAGAAAAAAGTAGGCTTCAAGTCTACGTCTATTTTAATTATGTTTCGTATTGAAAGCTCGAAAGTTTTATGATACACATGTAAAAGCCTTATCACATTATTACATTAAAGCATATATTGCGACTGAAATTTTTTCGAATGGATAAATACCATACAAATCAATGATCATAAGACCTTTTAAGAATAGTCATAAAAACAGTCAACTTATAAAATTATTCGTACATTGTTCCAATTTAGGGTTTCTTGAAAAAATCCAACTCATCTCTAAAATATTTCAATGAAAATTAATTAATTAATTTTTAAATTATGTATGGTTTGAAATAAAATGAAACGATATTGAGCATCAACTCTTGTTTTAATTTTATTTTTTGGTGATAATTTTCTTTCTGAGCAGTGATATACTTATAGTCAAAAGAAACTTGCTAATTGAATTCTGCTGAATGACTTTGCTTATTTACTAAATCTCAATGTGTAGAAAGACTGATTTCTCAAATAAACAACTTCCTTTAAGTTAGCGGTATTTCAAGATAGTAAACTGAATAAAAGTTATTCAATTGATGTATCCGTAAAACTGATGAGCCTACTGATTCCCTAAGTTGAATCTATGTGGTTGACACTCAGTTATGATAATTACCAAAATACTGTTTGTTGAATGTGGATAATTTGTATTGCGCTACGCATGAACAAGTACTAAGTACCAATCAGAAAAACCAATGACTATGCCCGATTTATGGGAAAAGGAATATAGTTGAAAAAAACCATTGAACATTGTATAAAAGTGAATGATAAAATTAAATTATTATTTGAATATGAGCAAAACAATATTTATAATGATCATTCAAACCAAAGTAAAAGTTATATTGAGCATATGCTTTGCCGTATAAACTTTCGCATGCAACATCTAAAATCAATAGTTCGTTTTAATTGGTTATTTATTTTTATTTGTCACATACATTGTTTGACTGCTTCGAGTCTTCTCGTCAGTTTACTCGGGATATTTTCTAAAAGAAATATGTACACATATACACAATCACTTTCGATTGTTTGAAAAATAACAGGTTGACTGTGTTGGTTGATAGTTGCTTTGTTATAGTATGGTATTTCTATGGAAGACTTATCTACTTGTAGTTCCAATGGATGATGAATTTCTGTATGCGGACGTCTGAGGAATCCAAAGAATGTACTCAGATTACATTGTATATTTTTACTCAATACGACTTTTTAAACGATACTAATATCACAAGTTAGGTATTGAGTATTATCAAAATATAAGCATATTTTATAAGTTTTCTTAGTGCAGCTTGCAAGAAGATATAGTATTAGATAGTTCAGCTAACTACCATTGATCATAAATTTTCAAACTTAAACAAAGCACATGTTTGGTGCACATTCGTTTACTAGCATGTTTTCCTAATAACATCAAGTCCTAATTTAAACAATGAAAATTAATGATTAGATTGAGTATTTAGTTTGCTGAATATCGACATCGTTTATTTACAGATGCTTGATAAAACTGTTCACTTACTAATATGAAATTGTATAAATGAATGATTTCCTTTGAAATCAGTTGTTCCATCTTTAATGAATGCTTCTGTGAATTGGATGATCAAAAAATATGACATACATTGTTACTCAATTGCCGTTGCTAAATAAAGTAATCAATTACAATTCTAATTATTTCAACTCTGGTATTGTTAGCGTAAATCAGTGAATAATTTGTTGCTTTTAATATGTACGCCTACGTTTTTATTTTTCACAGAGGATGGAAAATAGACAATGTAAATGCAGATTGAAAATATGTTTGATGTTTTCATAAGAAATTATTCAGCAGAATTACACAAAATCACCTCAACCGAAGATCTTTGCACATGAAGATTATTGACATTTTTCATTTAAAACTAATGACTGTTTAATAGTTTAAATAGAGTCAAATGTACGAATTAATTTTTCGATTTCCAATGACAACTACTGTTGAATGCATTTTTGTTCCTAAAACATTGATTCGAATAAGTCGTACAGTTCTTCATACCTACAATAGTAGGTTTATTAAGCGGTTGAGGGCAAGTCAGTTAGTTTAAATATAATACAACATACCCACACTATCCTCCATCAGTTGCCAAAAACCTAAATGAAACGGTAACAATTAAAAGTGAGAAGGATGATCAAATATAAGAATACTGTTCGTGTCATGGATAGTTTTCACAATACAAACGATAGAAATGTTACAAATTGTAACTGCGAGACAGGTACTTTTTCTAACAACTACTTGTCACAATTAGTTTATTTAAACATTGATGATAATCAATTTGGAAGTAAAAGCCTATCACTTATTTCAATTTTTCAAAATACTGACAAACGAAAGTTAACACAATCTTATCTAATCTAATCTACTTAAAACGGTTTAAGTTTAAACTAAACATAAGATAAAAACTCTCCATAAGTGAAATTAGATGAGTTAAATACGAGAATATTTTCTACAATGAAGTAATGTCAGTTTATAGAGTAGGATAAAAATATTTTTCAGTATGACTACTCAAACAACACATTATTCACCAATAAAAGAGTACATGTTATCAAAATAATAAATGATGACGTACGGTTCTGGTAGTAAGCTTGAAAAATGTTTTAAAGTCATAGGTAAATAAATATCTTTAAAGTGAAATCTGTATGTTTCTCTAAATGGTATAAATTTCTATCGACGAATAAAAACAAACTGAGTAATCAATTGCGAAAAGATGAGAAATATTCTCATTTATTTTTTACTTATGCAGCACCTAATTGAAGAAGTCTACAGTCCAGCTCATTGACTAATCGAGAAATGTAGTATGAAAAATATCCGCAGAAGTTCATCTGCCAAAGTTTGAACTTTTGCGAATTCACACTTGATAAATGTTATGTAAAAACCCTGAATTATTCTACCAATTTCAGTTTATGAAATTCATATGTCATATTAAAAAAAATTTTACAACCTATTGAATAAACTAAGTCGACTAGTGCTAGCTTGAATAACCTTGTTTTTGAATGCATATATATATATATATATGTAATACTTTGACAAATGGGCGACTTAATACAACCATTTTGAACTTTGTTAGATAACTTACGATTAGCTTGAAAAGCTACGGTAGACAGAAGATTTGGTTATATTTTGAAGAAAATGTAAAATATTCTACTTATAAAGGAATTTATATTGTATGCTATTTATACTTTAAGTAGGTAACCATGAATTCCCCACTACTGCAAGGAAAGAGTGAACGGTAACCAAACATGTTTTTGACGTAATGATGTTAGGATGAGCCTGAGTACAGGTGAGAATACAAAATGTCCTTTGTTTTTATTGTGGTAATTGTTTTAGTCATAGTTAAATGTGAGCGTGAGGTTTGGTCAGATATTCCTTTAACAAGGAAATCACTACAGAACTTGAGATTTGAGTTAACTGAATTCGTTGATATTTAAAATTGCGATGATATTACGTTCTTCTCCTTGATTATCAATCCACATCGACGAGATCGTTAACTGAGCTTGAATTCATGAAAATCGTTTTTTCATTCATACTCTTTTTCGCAAAGCGACTTATTTTATGATGAGAATGACGTTTTAGTTGAATTATCTGCATCTTTTTATCCGATGATTCGGTTTCTTTAGATTTGCGAGCCATCAGATTCACTTATGCATCTACTGATCTGCTGATTTCAAGTAACATCCAACTTATCTTTCAATCAAGAAGAGATTGTATGACAACGGATATCAGGTCTGTTCTCAATAGGTCTAACGGCTTTCAGAGTTATCCACTTTGCTATTAAATAAGGTAAGATTTCGGCTTGTATGATTGCGGCGACAAGTATGTTATGTAAAATTTGTGGAGCTTGATAACCATAATCGACTTTGTCAATATCACTCCTGTGAGGTTCATATGCTTGTATAAAGAACTTTAAATCAAAAAACTTAAGCGAGAAACCCCTAGGATCTAATAAATTCAGAAATAACTTTACTTCTGTCAAAACATCGACCTAAGCTTAACATTTTTATCGGTACTCCATAAACTAATGAAGAAAATTTACATTAGGAAAGAAATGAGACACAGTGACATAATGGATGAGTTAGTTTGAGTGAAATCATCTGCGATTACTTACCATGTGCAAATCGATCTAGTGAAGTTATGGACATATGTGTTTACATTAACAAGAAATTCATCCATCAAAATCAATGATAATGATGCTTCTAATATTTCCCCTATTAAAACCGATGGTTGATCGGTGTTATATCACAGGTCTCATTTTCACAAAGCTGAATCATTGTGTAATCATCGATAATTATTTGAAGTGGGTCCAATGAAAGTAGTCTAGTATTAACTAAACTAATAAAAGTTGACAGTCTCTCCAGTGAGCTGTGTTTGTCAGTGTCAGAAAAAAGTAACATTGAAATGAGAATAATTTGAAGAAATGTACACTTTAAATCTTTTATCAAATCGTTTTAAAAAATTAATTACAATACTAAAACGTCATTGTAGGAATTCACATATCATTGTGAAGTCAGTGTGATGTTTGGAAAATTTATATTCGATAGCTTACTTCGGAAATCGGTTTTACCTAAAACGTTTCGACAGAAATTGTCAGTATTTTGAGATAGGAAATAATGTTTTTACTTAAATGTTACTGATATGCTGCTGTTAATGCAATGGTCAAAGTATGGTGCTCCTCTGACGTTTGAATATATAGTGGAAGTATGCGAAACTCTCTAATCATAAAAAATTATTGAAAAGCCATCAAGCCAAGCAAAGAAACATAGGTAGGTTCGCACTTTTGTTTTTTAATGGACGATTTATTGGTATACGCAAAATCTATATAGAAAAGTAGGTTTCATGATTTCATAACATCGTTGACATTCTACACCGGAAAACCAGGATGTTGACAGCGTCAATGACTAACGCCTGACGTGAAAAGGCGAAATTCAAGGTATCCAAAGTTAGAAATTAATATTTTTCCTCAAGTGTCATTTTTTATATACGTATTCACATAGTGAGTACTAATCCAAACAATTTACTTATGGCCGAGTAAATTCTCTGTGAGCAGTCTGCTGCGCGCTTTACGGGGGTTTCCATACTTCAGTAGTTTAAGGTTCAGTAAGTGATGTTCCCACATGAAATCAAGTAAATCAGTTGAATTAAATAAGGTTTTCGCCAACTGTAGTGAGTAAACTATTCAGATGATTCGTATGTACCATATTGTTTTCCAAGTCAATTTGCGATTATCGATGCAAATAGGATACATTTTTTATATTACGGTATGAAATGTGTGTTTTCCGAATGTATTACGACATATCTGAATCACGAAAAATGGACGGAATGCATATTTTGGCTTTGACATTGAACTGCTTTTATGAAATAACATTAAGTGTCAATGATCATCTAGACAGATAATAGGCGAACTGCTTAAACATTCAGTAAACAAGGACGAATAATTTGAATATGATATCACTGAACTTACCGACTGAAAGTGATTTGTGTAAAAGTATAAAATTTATAGTGGATTGTTAACACTACAATTCGTAGTTGCTTCAGATTGATATAAACTGATATATAAATAGTGCGTAATGGTGATTTGGAGCATATTGTTGCTACACTTTAGTCGATATATTAGATATGGTATATATATAATCGTTTCACTGGAATGAGCCATTCATCAGAGTTTGACTACCGTTTATAGCGCTGGAACGCTTACCACTGTTTCTTCAAAGTACGATATAACATGACTACGATTATCAATGAACTGTAAAGTGGAAAATTGTTTTGCGGCTTTTGATTATTTACTTATTGATGAGCGCTCCAGTGTAAATATTATGATCGATACCTAGGGATGTTGTACCTTTCATAAATAAAACGCTTCGACTAAAATTGAATTCTGGTAATTATTTTTGCTGCTTTGATAATAATAGTATATACAAAGTAGCACCACTATACAATATTCTTCAGATAATATAATGAAAATGAATGATACAATGTAAATCATGAATAAACTTTAGAGTCACTTACAGTCTTTAGTCACTACATTGAAACGTGCAAGAATGAGCCGAGGAAGTACATGATATGATAAAATAAATAATTTTATTAAGAAAATACACGCATCTTTGCAAGTATTCATTCCTCGATGACAATTATTTCCAGATTTCACGTTGAATAGCTGGATAGATAATAATTTTGTACCGTTTCTCGGCCAATTACAGTCAACTCACAGAATGTCCGTAGCAAATCACAAACAATTTCGTATGTTTGTATGGTGAGAAGAGTAGTAGTAGATAATTGTAGGTTTGCACAGAAAATATCTGCGATACTCTTTCTTCAGAAGTATGAAATACGAGATTTCCATCAGTAAAGTAGGTGGGAGTAGTGGGGAGTAAATGAGAGTGATGCTTTCGCAACTGTGATGTCACCTAACACTTATCTTGTATAATGTACATCTATTACAATATTGTTAAATGAACATTCACAATTCTGTGTTTGCTTTACAGTTGACAGTCATCGATTCATTGCAAAATATAATTTTGTAAATGAACAGAATAAACGTATTTTGACATAAAGATTATAGATATTAGATAATTGTGGCATTGTTTACACTGCAAATTTTATTTTCAGAACCGTCAGACCTCGTTTCGTCAATTTGTTGGTTTTACAAGTGCTCCTACGTTGCTAATATGCTCTAACGATATTAATTGTCATCTAGTGAGAAACCAATTAAATTGACATGCCAATCGATTGAAAGATATTTGTTTCCATATGTCGTTTTCATCTACATGCGAGGGTTGGGTTATCCATGTTTTGTTTATTATCGCGTGACGATATACTGTTTTGTCACTGTTTCGGATTGTGGAAATCTATTCTGTTCATTCGGACCACGAGAGAATGTCAGTACACGTAGGTTCCAGAATAAACACATCTATCATTTATTTATGCAGTTGATTCAGCATTCACCTTGTTCCTCAAATGTGAAAGTAGTTTACTATTGACCTTATTTTTACTTTGTTTATGTTTCGCTAATAACTTAAGACAGGAAATTAATCAGATAGACCTTGGAAGATGAAATTACAAGTAAAAGTCAACAGCATTGAACATCATTAAAAACATATTAACCAATGGGTTAGGCGAAGAATCTTTACTTTAAATCAGTGTGAAAAATGGAATAGTAATACAGAGTTGAATGTGGTTAGCAAGTACTATCTAGGGAGTCATTATTAGTGATCCTTAAAATAAGCCATTTTCGAATGTTCCACTTCTGAATCACTGAATTCGAATGGCTGACACATGGTGTTTTTGTATCTTTTTACCATAATAATAGTAAAAATTAACTGTTGTGAGAAGGTGGTTGAGAATAACTGTTGATCTAATTGTACTTAATGTTTCTGAGTAAACATTTCATGAAATTGGTGGAGTTAATTATTCATATTCATCACATAATAGCCATGGCAGTATAAGAAGTGTAAGAAGATGAAAAGGAATTCAATTTACTTCATTGATTAGTTTTTGACCATTTAGAAGAATCATTATGTGCATTATACACGTAAATCGAACAGTCACGTTTAATTATTACTGGTCAGCAATTATTCACAGAAAGTTTTAAACAGGACATTCTCGATATTATGGTGGACCAAATTTTGTAGGTAAAGAAGTCATTATTCAACTAGATACATTAAAATACAATTCAAATTTAGAATTATGAAGTGTTCATTGGAAAAAATATATTTCGACTTACTGTCTACTTCTACAGCAATCAAACGTGCGAGAATCAAGGTAAAATAAAACAGAACAGTTGAGTACATTTTTTTCTCAAGAATATTCATGATTCTTTGAAATTTATATAAATCAGAGGTAATGATGATTCGCTAATTTCAATTTGAATTGTTCAGTTTATAATCATTGGTTTGTTTAGATGAATTATGTGACACAACTGTATAAAATGTACTAGATGTGATAGATCAATTTGACGTACCCGATTTCGGCCAATTACAGTCAACTCACAAAATGTCCGTAGCAAATCACAAACAATTTCGTATGTTTGTATGGTGAGAAGAGTAGTAGTAGATAATTGTAGGTTTGCACAGAAAATATCTGCGATACTCTTTCTTCAGAAGTATGAAATACGAGATTTCCATCAGTAAAGTAGGTGGGAGTAGTGGGGAGTAAATGAGAGTGATGCTTTCGCAACTGTGATGTCACCTAACACTTATCTTGTATAATGTACATCTATTACAATATTGTTAAATGAACATTCACAATTCTGTGTTTGCTTTACAGTTGACAGTCATCGATTCATTGCAAAATATAATTTTGTAAATGAACAGAATAAACGTATTTTGACATAAAGATTATAGATATTAGATAATTATACCTTTTTCGGCCAATAACAGTCAACTCACAGAATGTCCGCAGCCAACGCTGGGCTGGTCGTCCACGCTCTTATAAGTGCACTCAGTCGATGTTCCAGTTCCAACTCCGTCTGGCACACTTATTGTTTTGAACATGGTCGTCGTGGTAGTTGGTGGTTCCTTCGTTCGATCTTATTCCGACGTACATATGCTGCGTTGTCTGGTCCGGATCGTTACGAACGCAATCTTTATACTGTGGGTACGAGCTACACTATTTCAAGCAGTTACTATGGAACGTTAGTGCATGTACCGTTCTCTGTGAAAAATATTCATTGACAACTCGAGCAACATGGATTGCTTCCTATTCGTCAACCCTTCCATAAAACAAATTCATACAGAACGAAACCGCCACGTAAAGAAATAGTAAACGCATTAAAACGGGATCCACTTTTGTGAAGAGAATGCGATTGGTTTTATAGAACTAATTATTATTCTAAAAAATATTCCAGGTACTGTTCACTTTAAATTGTTTTATTTGGTATATTTGTAGCAGAATAAAACTGATTACAAAGTGCAATTCATATATATATATATATATATATATATATATATATATATATATATCATATACATTGATGCACACTTATGCGAATGGTTTGCCACATCATCATGTTATTTAGTATTGTTGCAGTAAGTATGAAATACAGATGAACTTGGATCCTTTCTTTTTTTTATTCTGATAATGATCATATTATTGAGATAAATAAAAAAGCGCAATGCAAATTTGCATTTGATAAAACATAAAAAAG